ATACTATTTAGACAGGTCCAGTCTCTTCTTAAAAACCTCCAGTGATGAAGCACCCACAATTTCTGGTGGCCAGCTGTTCCACTGGTTAATTGTCCTCACTGTTAGGAAGTTTCTCCTTAATTCCAGGTTGCTTCTCTCCTTGATGAGTTCCCACCCATTGTTTCTTGTCCTGCCTTCAGGTGCTGTGGAAAATAGGTTGTGGCAGCCCCTCAAAGAAGAATTAGGGGCGACATGATAGCGGTCTCCCAGTATTTGAGGGGCTGCCACAAAGAAGAGGAGGGGGTCAATTTATTCTACAAAGCACCAAAGGGCAGGACAAGAAATAATGGTTGGAAGCTCATCAAGGAGAGAAGCAACCTGGAATTAAGGAGGAACATCCTAACAGTGAGGACAATAAACCAGTGGAACTGCTTGCCACCAGAAGTTGTGGGTGCTCCATCACTGGAAGTTTTTAAGAAGAGACTGGATAGTCACTTATCTGAAATAGTATAGGTTCTTCTGCTTAAGCAGTGGGCTGGACTAGAAGACCTCCAAGGTCCCTTCCAGCTTTAGGATTCTATATTTTAGTCTCCAGGCCTTTAATCATCCTACTTGCTCTTCTTTGCAGTTTTTCCAAAGTCTCAACATCTTTTTTGCAATGTGGGGACCAAAATTGGATGCAGTATTCCAGGTGTGGCCTTACTAAGCAGGTACTAATACTTTACATGAATTTGATTCTATGCCTCTGTTTATACAACCAAGGATTCCATTCTCGTTTTTTTTTTTTGACTGAAGCCGAATTCACACCTCAGTTATGGATGCAAATTTTCGCTTTGTTCCAACTCTGCAATTAATTCCTGGCTTAAATAACGGAGGGATTTCTGCAGCTACCAAATTACAGGGATCTTTGATGTGTGATTGCTAGGTTTGTGCAAACCTACACTTTTTGGTCCCACCATCGGCCAACAGAGAAAACGTATCGGGTTTGCAATTCCCAAACTCTACTGGAACAATTTGCAAACAAAACTTCCAAACTTAGGAATCTCCTGTTTTTAGGCTGTCCAAGGATCTGGGGCAGGGGTCAGCAACCTTAAATGCTCAAAGAGTCATTTGGACCCGTTTCCCACAGAAAAGAAAACACCGGTAATGTAAATAAAAGAAATAATGTGAATAAAAGAAAGGAATCATACAGAGTCAGATATATGGGCTCTGGGGGACCCTCTCTATTCACATTATTATAAGAGAGGAAAGTGCTCGTGGGACAGTTAAACCCCATTAAGTGGTAATATATCTTCTGAGACCTAGATGTCACGAAGGGACTGCCATATGGAAAACATCTGAGTGACCTCACTGTGAATGACACAAAGACCTATATGTTACAAAGAGTTACTTAATCCAATAAATTTACCCAAGGACAGTAGTAACTCTCCCATTAACAACTCCGAGCACTTAAGGAAAAGTTGTGTGGCTAAGATAATTTTATAAACTAAAAATAATGGTTTACTAATGGTTTATTAATTAGGAAGTGCGTCAATTATCATATGACAAATGTATGTAACCATATAGGGAAAATCGGATGTATGATCTTATATTAACCATATATGGAAAATGTATGATTTCACTGAATCCTTTGTCTTAGAAATGTATAAAACCGTTGTATCAGAGTTCTCTCCTTGTTCAAAGCTTCAAGCACAAAACTGGCTCTGAACCTTGCGCAATAAAACTGTCTCTGGCTAACCCAGGAATGTTGTTTGGTCTCATCATTCCACAACACCGGGAGCCACAGATGTCCTAACCAGAAGCCTCCCATTCAATTTTGGGGCTGACCGGAAGTCCGGTTTCCCCCAACATAGAGTCTCCTCCTAGAGCGGCGTCCTTTTTCCTCTACCTGTCCTAACCGAAAGCCCTATCAATTGTGGAGCCGACCGGAAAATCCACCCCTTGCCATAGAGTCTCCTCCTGGCACGATGTGCTTCCCCCACTAACTGGAAGTTCCTCTCGCAGCATTCCGATGTGATCAAAATTCAGACGCTTGGCAACCCCGACTTATATTTACGATGGTCGCAGTGCCCTGATCCGCTTTTGCAACCTTCTGACAAGCCAAGTCAAGGGGGGGGGAGCCAGATTCACTTAACAACCGTGTCACTAACTTAAGAACCGCGGCGATTCGCTTAACAACCGTGGCACGAATGGTTGTAAAATGAGGCAAACGTCAAAAACAACGGCCTTAGCAACAGAAATTTGGGGCTCGATTGTGGTCGCATGTGGAGGACCTCCTGTAACTCAAACGCTAATAGGAAGGGAGGTTTGGCTGCTGGTTTTTTTTTCGTTTGCTAATGCTAAGATTGTTAATTTTAAATTTATTTTAAAACAATAGGGGTGTTTTAATTTGTTTGGGCCAAATTATTTAATGTGTTTTTTACATTGTTTTTTAAATTTTGTATTATGTGTGTTTTATCTTTTGGCTGTTCACCGCCCTGAGTCCTTCGGGAGTAGGGCGGTATATAAATCCAAAATAAAGTAAAGTAAAGTAAAAAGATGCAGAATTTGAGGGAGTAAATTGTGACTCGGAACTGGAACCAATCAGTTCGCTTGGTTGGCTGGATCCAGTTTGTTCCTCTTGGCTGGATCTCCCTTGTAAAGTTGTCGTATTGGCAGCCGAGTTGCTGGAGGTAGTGTGGTATCTACCTTGCCCTGATTTCTCGAAGAAGAGGGGGAATGTAATTCCTAAATATGTACTTACACAGGGGTGCTGCTTGCATGCGTCGCGGTTGCATCCGGGGTGAGGTTGGGGCAAGACTTTGGGCAGTGGGCTCTGCGAGAAATAAACTTCGGCGTTGTCTCAGATGCCTTTGGCACAAGGTGGATAAAAATCAATGAATTTTTTTAAAAAATCAAAAAAATCAGATTTTTTTTTATTTAAATCGGATTGTTTTGATTTAAATCGGATTTTTTTTTATTTTTATCGAATTTATTTTAATAAAAAACTTGGGGTAAAAATCTATCGTAAGATAGTTTTCTATTTACGATACATAAATAATTTAGTTTATTCAGCATGAAATGGAGCTTAGTTTTGTAGCAGGAGGCTGTATATTCTGCAACACTGGGACTATCGGTGAGTCAACAGCGGGTCGAAGGAGGAGCAGAGATGACAGTTGCTCTTTAAAAATTATGATTTGAATCGAGTTGATTTAAATCGAGCCTTTTTACTAGTGATTTAAATCACGATTTAAATTGTGATTTAAATCAACTCGATTTAAATCAAATCCACCCTGCCTCGGCAGTCGGATAAGAGTTCCCGGTGTTCAGTCATTCAATCCCGAAGTGACCTCTGACTGGACTGCTGTCGTGAGCTCTACCTGGGGCTACCCTTGAAGACTATTCGGAAGCTATAGCTGGCGCAGAGTTAGTGTGGCAGTGCGGGGAGTTTTGCAGGCTCCAAAAATGGCCCCTGTGATGACACCACGGCTCTGTGAGCTGCATTGGTTAACAGTTTGCTTCTGTTTATAATTTAAGATATTTGTGCTTTAAAGCAGGGGTCGGCCACTTTAAGACTTGTGGACTTCAACTCCCAGAATTCCTCAGCCAGCAAAGTCTTAAAGTGGCCAAGGTTGGCGACTTTGCCGGCTGAGGAATTCTGGGAGTTGAAGTCCACAAGTCTTAAAGTGGCCAGTGTTGGAGACCCCTGCTTTAAAGAGCCCTTCCTGGCATGGTCCAGGTTACTTGAAGGACCATCTCACCCCACTGGGATTGCCCCTACCACCTGTGCCGGCCGAGGAGGCGTGTTATGGGTCCCGTATTCCTGCTGGCGGGGTCCAGGGAGCAGGGCCTTCTCTGCGGTGGCTCCTGCCCTCTGGAACGTCTCAACCCCGTGATGTGAAGTTGGCCCCAAACCCTCCTACCTTTTCATAAGGGACTAAAAACCTGGCTCTGTCAATTGGCTTTGGGGCTCCAGTTGGAGGAAAAGAGCCATGGAGGTGATTGATTGCATAACAACAGATCCCTCCTTCCCCACCACCATCACTCCACCCCAGCCGCGCCCCCCCCCTTCCCCCATGTGTCTCTGGTTTTAATGTTTGATTTTTTAACTTTTGGTGTTTTTAACTGTAAGCCGCCCAGAGTTACCCTATGGTAAAATGAGCAGGCAATAAATTGTAGAAAGAGAGAGAGAGAGTGAGAGAGAGAGAGAGAGAGAGAGAGGAAGAAAGGAAGGAAGGAAGGGGAGAAGAAGAAAGAGAAAGAAAGAAAGAGACAGGAAGGAAGGAAGGAAGGAAGGGGAGAAAAAGAAGAAAGAGAGAGAAAGGATCGAAGGGGAGAAGGAGAGAGAGAAAGAAAGATAGGAAGGAGAGAAGAAGAAGAAAGAGAAAAAAGAAAGAAAGAAAGAAAGAAATGTAGGGGAGAAGAAGAAAGAAAGAAAGAAAGAATGACAGGAAGGAAGGAGAGAAGAAGAAGAAAGAGAAAGAAAAGAAGAAAAAGGAAGGAAGAGGAGAAGAAGAAGAAAGGAAGGAAGGGGAGAAGAAGAAAGAATGAGAGAAAGAAAAAGAAAGCAAGACAGAGAAAGAAAGAGAGAGAGAGAGAGAAAGAAAGAAAAAGAGGAAGAAAGAAAAGAAAGAAACAGAAAGCGAGACAGAGAAAGAAAGAGAGAGAAAGAAAAAAGAAAAGAGGAAAGAAGGAAGATATGGATGGTGTCAGAAGAATTCAGATTCGGCTCACCACTGTTCCTTGCAAGTAATAATTTAGCACAGCAAGAGATGAGAGAAGTTACATCTTGAGCAGCTGGATTTCTGCATGCAGGGTTTTGTTCCTCAGAGGTAGAAATTCCCTGCCTTAAAATCGTCCCGTCCTTCCTTTCTCTCTCATTAGAAGCATTTGGCTAGACCAAGCGTTGGGAAGACTTCCTTAAAATTTCAGCAGGGATTGCCGAAGGACTTAACCAGAAACCTTTGCAAGTACACCTGGTCCTCACGTTTACGACCACAACCGAGCCCAACATTTCCGTTGCAAAGCAAGATAATGGTTAGGTGAGTTCTGCCTTGCTTTGTCTCCTTCCTTGCTGAGGTTGTTATTTGAACCCTTGTAGTTAAGTCACTAACACGGTCGTTAAAGTGAATCTGGCTTTGCTTGTCAGAAGGTCGCAAAAGGAAATCATGCAACCGTCATAAATATGAGTCAGTGGCCAAGCGTCCGAATTTTGATCATGGCGACGATTGGGGATGCTGCACAACGGTCGTAAGTGTGAAAAATGGCCATGGGGATGCTGCACTGGTCATAAGTGTGCACAGCGGTTATAAGTCACTTTTTTCCCAGTGCCGAATGGTCACTAAATGAAGTGCTGTAAATCGAGTTACTTGCCAGGGCTGTAAATAAATCCAGTCAGAAGCTTTACTTTACTTTTTATTATACTTTTATTTGATTTTATATACCGCCCTTCTCCCGAAGGACTCAGGGCGGTGAACAGCCAACAATAAAATACATACATACAAAATTTAAAAAGCAGAATTAAAATCGAATTAAATAGTTTGGCCCAGACAGATTAAAACCCCAATCAATTTAAAACAAATTTAAACTTTTGAGTATTAAAAATATTAAAAAATATTAAAATTATTAAAATTGTTTAAAAAGAGGGAGAGAAAGTTAGGCCAGGCCCGCCTGGTGACATAAGAAAATCTTGAGCGCGCGACGGAAGGTGTGCAGATCCGGGATCCTCTGTATCTCCGGGGGGAGCTCGTTCCAGATAGTAGGTGCCGCCACAGAGAAGGCTCTCCCCCTAGGGGCCGCCAGTTGACATTGTTTGGCCGACGGCACCCGGAGGAGCCCCTCTCTATGAGAGCGTACCGGCCGGTGGGAGGCTATTGGTGGTAGTAGGCGGTCCCGCAAGTACCCAGGTCCTGAGCCATGGAGCGCTCTAAAGGTGGTAACCAAAACCTTGAATCGCACCCGGAAGACCACCGGGAGCCAGTGCAGCTCGCGCAGGAGGGGTGTTACATGGGAACGCCATGTCGCTCCCATAACCACCCGCGCGGCCGCACTCTGCGCCAGTTGGAGCCTCCGGGTGCTCCTCAAGGGGAGCCCCATGTAGAGAGCATTACAGTAGTCCAGGCGGGAGGTGACGAGGGCATGAGTGACTGTGTGTATTCTCTCTTTATATAATCCCTTTGTAATCCCTTCGCTGGCTTCGCAGTTTCCTTCTTCCTCCTCTTCCTAATCCTCTCCCTTCCCCAAAGGTGTAAGGTGTGTGTAACTTTTGAGGAGGAGTCTTCTGGAAATGGTCATACTTTCCCCATAATGAGTGATGATGAAGTTCAAAATAATCCAGTAAACGAAGCTGGGGAAACTCCCCAGTTCCCAGGAAAATATTGGCAAGAGGGTTAAAATGTGAATTTTCTCTTAAGGCCTCGGCCGGGAGCCGGATTTCCTTGTCTTGTAGAAATCTGGAGTCAAGGGTTGTTGGCCTGTGAAAATGTGAGGTTTGTTGAAACTGGTTTTATGCGACATTAAAAAAATCCCAAACATGGTTTAAATATTATTAGCATCAACATAAATCATACTAGGAAACTAGATACAACAATATAAATCGTAATATTACTATATTATTTATTTATTATTTATTAGTTCGATTTATATGCCGCCCTTCTCCGGAGACTCAGGGCGGCTTACAATGCGTTAAGCAATCGTCTTCATACTTTTGTATCTACCTGCTTAGTAGGGCTTTCGGGCCCCCCTAAGTGGTGTTCTTTTTTATACAAAGTCAGCTTATTTCCCCCACAATCCGGGTCCTCATTTTACCTACCTCGGAAGGATGGAAGGCCGAGTCAACCTTGAGCCTGGTGAGAATTGAACTCGCAGTAATTGCAGGCAGCTGGCAGCTAAATACTACTTTAACAGTAGTTTAGTCCACTGCACCACCAAGGCTCCTTAGAAGTCAATATTTGTAGCTCAGGGTTGAATTGTGGGGCCCTCGGTGCTCTCTGAGCTTGGTCGTTTTCTTGCAAACGTTTCATTGCCTAACTAGCTAACATCATCAGTGTTGGAAGAGAATGGGGTTTGTGAGGAGGAAGAGGAGGAGGAGAATTGTAGGGTCGTTGATGCTCTCTGAGCTTGGTTGTTTTCTTGCAAACGTTTCATGACCCATCTAGGTAACAACATCAGTGTTAGAAGGGAGTGGGGTTTGTGAGGAGGGGGAGGAGAACTGGGGGTCCTTGGTGCTCTCTGAGTTGGTGGTTTTCTTGCACATTTCATGACCCATCTAGGTAACGCCATCAGTGCTAGAAGGAGGTTGGGTTTGTAGAGGAGGAGGAGGAGGAGGAAAAAGACTACGGGGTTTGGTTGTTTTCTTGCAAACATTTTATTACCTAACTAGGTAACATCATCAGTGCTAGAAGGGAGTTGAGGTGGAGGGTAGAGGAAGAGGTCTGGGAGTCCTTGGTGCTCTCAGAGCTTGGTTTTTTCATTGCAGTCGTTTCATGACCCAACTAGGTAACGTCATCAATGCACAAGATGGTTTGTTGAATTTTGCCCTTAAATGTTGGGGCATTTGAAGTTGGGAATCCTGGTTTGATAGCTTGAGAAGGGCTTCCTGGGGTCCTCTCAAAAGGTTTTCGACTTGCACTCTCTATATACCAGTGGTGGCTAACCTCTTTGCCGTCGCGTGCCAAAAGCGGGGGAGTGCAGGGAGGATGCCCACGTCCTCCAGGCTCCAGAGCCTTTCTTGGAGCCTGGGGAGGGCAAAAACAGCCTTCCCCACCCCACCCGGAGGCCGGAAACCGCCCATTTCCCGACTTCCAGTGGGCCCGGAAGTCCCGAAAATCAGCTGGCCGGTGCGCACATGCACGCTGGAGCTTTAGCTAGGGCAACGCTCGCGTGCCCACAGATATGGCGCCACGTGCCACCTGTGGCACGCGTGCCATAGGTTTGCCATCGTGGCTCTATCCAAAGGCTCCTCAACTCATAACCACTCATTTAGCGACGGGAGCCCGGCGTTGGGTGCACAAAGTGATTCAATCAATCGAAGCAGGCTGGAAGGGACCTTGGAGGTCTTCTAGTCCAACCCCCTGCCGAAGCAGGAGACCCTATACCCGTGATGGTGAACCTAAGACACGCGTGACACAGGTGGCACGCGGAGCCATATCTGTGGGCACGCAAGCGTTGCCCTAGCTCAGCTCCAGAGTGCATGTGCATGCCGGCCAGCTGATTTTCAGTCCTTCCAGGCCCACCAGAGGTTGGGAAATGGGCCATTTCTGGTCTCTGGAGGGCCTCTGGGGGTGGTGGTGGTGGGGAAGGCTGTTTTCGCCCTCCCCAGACGCCAAGAAAGCCTCTGGAGCCTGGGGAGGGTGAAAAACGGACCTATCGGGCTCACCGTGCCATTGTGTGTCAAAAGCAGGGGTCGCATGGGGGGGTTCGTGCGTGCATGCATGGGGGGTGGGGCGCATTGATTTATGAGTATGGACACATGTGCGCGCAACCCCCCTGCGCGCTTCCCCTGCTTTTGGCACATGATGGCAAAAAGGTTAGCCATCACTGCCCTATACTATCCCAGACAAATAGTTGTCCAATCCCTTCTTAAAAAACCCCAGTGATGGAGCATTCACCTCTTCTGGAGGCAAGGAGTTCCACTGGCTAATTGTTTTCTCTGTTAGGATAAATCGGGGGGGGGGGGGAGCATTGACGAAAGCAGTGTTGGGCTTGGAGCTCGGTCCCTTTTGTGTGTAAATTGCCACATTGCACATACAGGTAAGTTCCCAACTTGCAACCGTTCGTTTAGTGTACCTTCGAAATTACAACGGCACCGGAAAAAGTGACTTATGCCCGCTTTTTTCACACTTAACGACCATTGCAGCATCCCTGTGGTCATGTGATTAAAATCCGAAAGCTTGGCAACTGACATGTACTTAATGACTGTTGCAGTGTCCTGGGGGGGTCACACGATCCCCCGTTTGCGACCCTCTGACAGCGAAGTCAACGTCAGGAAGCCCGACTCGCTTAACAACTGTGTGACTAACTGGAACGGCTGCCGTGATTCAGTTAAGAACTGCGACAAGAAAGGTCGCAAAACGGGACAAAAAGGTCGCTTAGCGGTGGAAATTTGGGGCTCAATTGTCGTAAGCCGAGGACTGCCTCTACCTAACAACGGGGGTGAGGCGCTGCAAGAGTGACGCAGTTTTTTGTCATCGCGACGGAAGGATAAAGGTAAACCGTGGAGTTTTATTTAGCAAGCATGTGTAAGTCTTGCAGAGAAGGGTGTGTACCGACTCGGCAAGTAAGTGTTGTGGGTTCTTGTTCCTTTCAGCCGGGGTTGTGTTACAGGGGAGTTTTCCACAAGCCAGACTAATAGCCGTCCCGTGAGTTTTGTTATTATTTGTTATTATTTTTATTTTTTGTACTGCTTGGCAACTGGAGTTCTCCACGAGGGTTACACAGTGATGTTTCTGGATGACGTGTAAAATTGCGATAGAAACACAAAGCCAGCCCCACCTTAATTTTGTTTACTAGTAGACAACCTTTGCCCGGTTTGGGGGTGAGGGGGTGGGTGGGTTCATCATTCCCGAGAGATTTCCTTATCTAAACAGAGAAATGGAATGATCGAGGGCGGCCAAAATGCAGTGGGAGCTGGACCTTCGACTTCCTGCTGGCTTCCCCAATGGGTTTCCTTTCGGGAATCTGGCAGAGAACCTTGTAAATCTCTCCTCCTTTTCCTTTTCCTCCTTCTCCTTCCCTTCCTCTTCTCCTCGAGGAGAAGAGGAAGGGAAGGAGAAGGAGGAAAAGGAGAAGGAGGAGAGATTTACAAGGTTCTCTGCCAGATTCCTCTTCTCCTTTCCCCTTTCCCTTCTCTTCTCTTCTTCTCCATCTCCATCTCTTTTCTTCTCCTCCTCTCTCCTTCTCCTTTCCCCTTCCCTTCCCTTTCTCCTTCTGCTTTTCTTCCTCCTCTGCTTCCCCTTCCCCTCCTCCTCTCTCCTTCTCCTCCTCTTTACCTCTCCTCTTTCTCCTTCCTTTCCTTTCCCCTTCTCCTTCCCTTCTCTTTCTC